GTCACAATTGTGTAATGTGACCAGATCTCAAGCTGAACTCTGATCTCATAGCCTTGGAGACTGAACTCTTGTTTACATGACAGTACTGCACTTTTTATTGCACTGAATCGATTGTGGTCATGTGAACATTTCAATGTTTCCAACTGAGCATTTAAGAAAAAATTCTCCCACTTCAAGCAAATCAAAGTTGGATGTGTAAACTGAATTTTGATTATAAAGTTGAGCTGGGTGCTCTTCTTATTTGAAGCATTCACTCTCTGAGAAGTAGGAGAAGGATCTTCTAAACTTGCATTAAAATCATTTTAAATTTTGTGATAAGAATCTATCTTTGTTTTAATAAACACTATATTTCATATAATATACAAACATATATCAAAATATTTCTTGTGCTCTAAAATCCCTTGCATAGCTCACATTCATGCAGGTTTTATGACTTACAAACAGAGATGTAACTTGTAGTGATCCGTTTTTTTAGGAGCTGATGTTCAATACATTAGATAGTACGGTATTTTAGAAAGATTATTGCCATCCCTGCAGCACGTGCTTATTGCTTTTCTTGTAAACCATTCTAAATGCATTCTGATTCACTGTAGAAGTCGTGAGTTCACATTAATAAGATTAGAGACCGGCTCTTTATTAGGTGTGTAAATGGGACATGTCTATGATCAGTATCTCTGTTTATTTGAATGGCTGTTCCATTGCCAGCTGGTGGCTGAGGTCCAATTGAGAATGTCATACCCCAGTACACTATAAACAGAACAAGTGTGCATCTGCCATGAGAAATTCCTGCTCTGGTGAATTCTCCACTTTAACCAAAATATACTAGTGACCTGAATGCAGATCTAAACTGTGTGTATTCTGGAGATTTTCAAGAAGGCAAACTATTAAAGAATGGCACATCTTTCAAATTCAGATTTTGATAACTAAAAGTTACTTTTGAAGATCGCATCTCCACACTCTTGTGAAAAGCAGGTATTTTGATATCAGGGCAAAATAACAAAACTACTAAATATTTATTCAGTATCTGTCTTTGTTTTGAGCAAGCCTTTGTAGCTTACCCCTGCCTGCAGTGATCTACTGTATACTGAGCAAGATTTATTCATTTAAATGAAACTTGCTGTTGTATATTCTGTTAGTTTTTACTAAGTATAGGGTCCTTTTTCATTACCCTCAAATAAATTCACTATCCGGACATTCAGAAGATTCTTTACAGTTTATAAATAGCCATAATTCACTTTTAATGATGCAATTTTATTTCCAGAGATTCAATTGCCATTTAATGTAGTCTATTGTATCATTATAGTTGTTGTAAGAATTATGTCTGTAAATTATCCTTTGGTACAAAGGAATGTTATAGTTGTTGATGTTCTAGTTTATACTTGATCATAAATAAAATTCCGTCTAAAGCATATGTCTAGAAGAATCATTGCAGCAGATTTCCATATGGTCAGTCTTTGCTCTGGCATGATGTAGTATCTGATAATTCATTATGGAGAAAGGTTTACAATTCACTAGCCCCATCGTAACAAGAAGAGAATGTCATCCCATGCAGAAAACATTTACAAGCCCTTCTTCTTTCTTGATTGAAAGTTCTAATTAAGTGGATACAGAAAATTAACTGAAATTAGCTGTCAGAAAGTCACATTTAAATGAGTGATGAGCTGCTCCCGCAGTAAACATTTAAATGATATAAATTGCCATTTAAGTGTATGGTTTAATGTTTGTCATGCTTTAATGTGACATGAGACAGCAATGGCAATCAAACAGCTTGTCCTGATTTGAACATATTGAAAGGGTTTTTGTTTCGCTCTGACTTTGTGTTGTAACGAACAGTTATTTTACATTGTAATTGTGGTTTGCATGTGTGCATTCAACAAAATGTGTGCATTTTAATGAACTATTAGAGAAATGTCGGTAGTGTTCAGGCAACCTTTTAAACAATTTTTTTATTCACACTTAATATATAAACATTTGATGTTTTGTGTACTTAGTCCTCTGACATTGTACACTGATTAGTATTGTAATTTGATAGAAACTCGTCTTGGATACGGAACATATTTAATAGAAGTTCGGTGCTCTAAAAAGGCTTAAATCTATATAGCACTTATACTATTCCAATTATTACTGCGGTGTAATGTAGTACATCAGGTATCCTCATGTATGAACACAAACATTGACAGTACAACTGGCACAAATACTGACAAAAAACAGAAAAAGCACTGCATAAAATTAAAACCTACTCCTTAAAGACACATGTGTCTATTTTGTATACTGTGTACCCTTCTATTTTAAAGGATTGTCTTACGCAAATCTCGGAATGAGGCTTAGCTTCTCACACAACGAGGAGGAACGAAGAAGTGTAAGAAAGGTCCATCCTTAAAACCTCCACATGGAGCAGAATTTAGGCAGATCAGATCAGATCACATTTGGGCACTAAACATGCTTCAGCCCCATGTAAACCACACATTCCATCCCTGTCTGGCACGTAACTGCTGGAGAGTCTGAGCCAGACAGGCACACTGCTGTACATGCTCTGCTATGTCCTTAAATCCAGCTGTTCTAAATAGCAATCTGAAAGGTTATAAAGATTGAAGGGCCTTACAATCTCCAGTCGCTTGACTGGAGAGAAATAAATCCCCCCACCTTCTCACACCACATAAGTGAGCAAAACTATCACTTTTAGCAACAAGGAGGACTTCCCCAAACAGACACAGGTGAAAGATCCACTGGAGACGTGGCATTCAGATTTGGCAGTCGTGGAGTTCCACATAATTCAGGTCCCCTTCCCCCCAGATAGTAAAGCAGATCGAAGAAGGAAAGTAGCAGATTCTAATGAAGAACAGTAAACCCACCTACCATTACCAGTCGAAATCAGCATAGACAAGACCTCTCTCACTTGCCCTCGCTCTCTCACTCCCCCGCTCGCGCACTTGCTCTCACCTTCGCTTGCTTGCTCTCACCTTCACTCCCAGCCTCGCTTGCTCAGCAATAACAACTTGCATTTATGTAGCACCTTTCACATAGGATAACTTCTTGAATCGCGTATCAGAGAAAGGGTTAGATGATGAGCAAGGGAAGTGGGGAGGTGACTTGGAGGTCACCGTGGTAGGCGCAGTAGAAGCAGGACATAGTTACTCAAGACTCAACCATGATGGTGGGGGACATGCAGCAGGCCTGAGCTAGCCAAGTGTGTGAAGGGTTTTGTAAGTGTTTATAAATGCACTCTGCCTCCATCATACCCCAATAAAACCTATTCACGAATGCATATTCCTGCAAGCACCGTATGAGCAGAGTGTACCATATGTACTTAGCATTGTAAATGCATGAAAATTTTGAAAACAACGTTTTTTTAAAAAAGAAACCTTAAAAAGCAACCAATTTGCAAACCTTGGTTACATAAGAAATCATTCTATAACTTATTTCCAGAAATAGGAATATAAATTAGGGCAATGACTTGTAGTCTGGATTTTAATCAATAACCTGGGAGCAATTTCAAGGCTGTAATTTAATCTTGTATTTTATGCCATCCAGACCCATTGATCATATTAGGGCTGTGTATTTGCTCCTAACTGTCTGTTATTCTCCTTGTAGTTACTCCCAGGTGCCTTTTACATTTATGTTCCAGCTTGGTCTTTGTTTATGACCTTGAGTCTTTGAACATTTAAGGCAATTGCCCTACTCATACTGATTCTGGTGATAAACCGCACTATAAGCTTAGCTAAGATAGACATTATTATGTTCAATGTTTTACTGCAAAGTTGGTGTGGAAAAGCCACAAATGTCTCGTTTCATGGTTTAAGATTTGTTTCTTCATGAAAATAGTTGCTTTTGTACTATCTACAAGAATGTGAATTTTTTAGGGTCCTCACTAGTTACTTCTCTGGTACTATTCCTTCAGTGACTGGTTGGCTATATCCACTCTTGTTAATACAGTAAAATTCACATAAGTTGTATCAGTCGAGACCATAAATTTCTGACCATGCATTTTGACTTACACTAAGTCTGAGTTGCAGGCAAACTTATATAAATCGTATAAAATCCAACTTCATCAATAATCTACATTGCGCATGTGTAATTCAATGCAGCTGCTACGTGTACATTGTGGTAGTTCATCCATGCAGCCAGTAGGTAGACATGCGATGACGGTCAAGACTACGCTTCCCGTAATTCAACGCGACTTGACCCGTCGCCGCATGCACACTTACCAGCAAACATTGGATTCTCATTGAATCACGGGAAAATGGGAGTTGTTCTGTATATGATTTGATGCATCAAGACTACGTTTCCCACAATCCAATTTAGCCGCCTGGTAAATGCGCATGCGTCAATGGGTCAGGGCATCATTTCCCGCGATTCAGTGCAGCCATTAAGTGCTGGAGTAGTGGTGGATAGGAGAGCGCGGGGTTACAGGTTAGAGGATGGTTAATACGAGTAGAGCAAAGAAATCTTAAGTGTTTTTGACGGGAACTGAATGGGACTCGGCTAGATGTACGACTCAGGCTATTATACGTTTTATGGAGATAAGACTTACGTGAGTTTTACTGAATTATTATCTTTGTAGAACAGTCTAAACCATCATTGCCTTCTTCATATAAAAAAAAGTCCGTTAATATGAACTTCTCTGGAGCAGTCATCAGTGGTACAATTCAAGTTTACGGAAAGAAGAGGTTGATTTGTCTTTGAGTCTGTCGGTCTGGGTCACCTGCCCAATGGATCCCTTCACTACAGCATTGTGCTCCACCTAGTGGCCTGGTCACCAAGTTCCAAAACTGACCTGATGTGAGCCTGTTGGTCTTACGGTCAGGCAACTTTGGGACTCTCACTTATTATCTTTTTCGTCTGGTTAAGTCAAAGTTTCAACCAGCAAACTACTGAGTTGCCTAATTATTCTGTAGTCTAAATACAAGGTAGCCAAGGAGTTAGCTTATGTAAAATGAATCCACACTTCACAGCCAAAAGCTCTCGACTGACACTTACTTTCTTTCTGTTGTGGTTTACAGGCTCTGGAGAGCGAGTTCGTTTCCTGTCAGCTCCACCAGTGGATTGATCTGATTTTTGGATACAAGCAGCAAGGACCTGAGGCTATTCGAGCCCTCAATGTCTTCTATTACCTGACCTACGAAGGAGCTGTCAACCTGAATTCCATCAGTGACCTGGTCCTGAGAGAGGTATGGTAGTGGCAAAATAGAGATGCATTAAGGCCATAGTGAATGAAGTGGTAGTTTTCTTCATTGCCAGAATTTGCAATACAGGAAGTGAACCGAAGCATGAGATAGGAGGCCAATAGGTGGGTATTCTGGAGAGATGCGACAGATAGATCAAAGGGCCTTCTTCATCCAAACTAATTGTAAACTTGTGATGAAACAGAAATCAAATAGTTGCTGGTTGAACAATGTTCTCCCCAGCTCATTTTTAAATGGCCTGTGAGAATGAATCATTAATTTATTTGATTTAACCATTTTTGTAAAAAGACTTTGAAACAGTGCTATTTTCAAACAAATCTCTCATTGTGATATTCTATATTATATCATTCCATAAACAATAGTAGAACTTTGGATCAGAGAGTCTTGCTATCTGTGTCTGCCAAGTGGCTGAAGACAGACAAGTAGTTCTGATATACCTCCTCAGAGATTTATTTCATGATGCGTGACGGCTACACTGTTACCAGACCAGGCTATAGCACAGTAACATGGGGGAACTTTTTAATCATTTGGCTTTCAATTTTTTTTGCCAAATGCAGCTATATGTTAGTGATAATTGAAACCACATTAGAAAACTGACGACATAGCAGCCAGGCACCAGTTTGTTTGCACTCGACCAGTATGTGTGAGCTTGCCTGAAGTTTTAAAAAGCTTTGTGCATTTGCAGAAAGTGCAAACTTCCAAAACTCTCTTGAGCCATAGTTGTAAGTATAATATAATGTGAATTGCAAAACCCTAAATGTACAAGCAAATCAAACAATTGTAATATTTCAGTATCAGTATTTGGTATGGCCTTATACTTAATAAAAATCTGATTTATCTAACTAAAACTCTGGAAGAAGTAGCTTAAACCTATATTCTACTTTTTTAAAAAATTGAATCAATGATTTAAACATCCTTTCAGTTTTGGTATATTTTTGTTCAACATAAGCGTTGATGACTTCATTAAAAAATGACTGGCTTGGAGGAGTGTGGGACCTGAATTAATATCAGCCAGGATGTAGGCATTAATCCAGAGTGCTTCAGTGATTATGTAATTTCAACTGTACATGTTAATTTAGCCTCTCTCAAATGTCAGGCTCAATAATTCCTCCAAGCCATTTATTCCAATGATGTCACCAGCGCTTGCTGTTCAAACCAAAATATTTTTTGGAAACAATCCTTTAAAAGGAGTGCTAATGTTCAGACTGCTTCTTTCAAATGGGATGTTTGAATGATGTGTGAATATGTGTATTGAAGTTGTTTTTACATATAAAATCTTATTTCTACTCCTGGAAGTGATATTGCATTGTTTACAGTTTTAGATTGTTTCAAACAGTGGGACCACATTTTACTGCTTACTGCTACCACAGTCTTTCATGTCTATCCAACAGAACTTATGTAGACACAGACCTGTTTGCTTGTGGTTGGTGTAAATGTACCATTGCAAAATAGGTTTAGAGAGGTACCTTTGAGAATAGAGAACCTTCAGATTTCTTTATTGTCTTCAATACAACAAATCTCTTCAGAACCATCTTCCTTTGTGTTGAGCCTGCTGGAAACTGAACTCATTTCTTGTGTTCCAACTTTGTATCTGTAATCATCCTATTGCCTTGATCTACAGATAGACCCAGTGCTAGATTACGTCTCAAGGATTAATGTTGGAAGGCTATGCCGAAGATTTGCTAGTTGAAAAATCCGGAATTAGTGCTGCATTGGTTGCATTTATACTGGAGCAGTGGGCATTGATTTGTGTCTGAAACCACCTTCTGGAGTTGATTTTGTGAGCAGGCTGAAAAGTAATAGCAAGTTTGGAAAATAAATGTTGCACTACAATTTTATCATCAGTTAAATCGTGGCAGTCATGTACTTTAATCAGATCCTAAAGTACTGGATTTGGGGAGGGAGCTCAAGAATCCGGGTTTGATCAGTTAATGTGTACAATATTTGGCTTGGTCATATGTACCTGATCATTTTGATGTTGCATGCCTGAGAGTAATTTTTCTGCTATATAATATAATTTACATTTATATAGCTTTTTTCCCGTCGGGTGGAGGTCTCAAAGCGTTTAACACTTAGCACTGCTTAAGCCTGCTAGCTGGGCAATTAGAAACTTACATTTAACTCATTAATGTCCGGGTGGAAACCTACAGTTTTGATTGTATTGAAGTTGTTTCTAACAAGTGTAGTTTTAAAATATACTGTATACAATATTGAACTTTTAGGACTATGAAGAAAATAATAAAAAAAATTCTATGCGACATGTCATATTTGTATTGGTGGTGCTGACAGATGTTCATTCAAAGGCAAAGAATGTGAATAGTTTTGTTAAGGAACTGATTTAAAAGGTTCCACTCGATTTACAACAGACTATTTCCAAATACTTTGTAGTCATCAGTTTCTCTTTTAGGGAAATCGTCTAAAGGGTGCTCATAGCACTATGAAGGGGCTATTTTACAGAATTTAAATTGAGAAAAGTTTCCTTTCTTTTTCAAAAATAAATAAAGTATCATAATTTCAATAGAACTATCTACGATTCAATATTAAAACAATGAAAGTATGCAAGAAACGTATTTTTAAAAAATCCAAAATGTAAGAAATTTATATTATTTGATGAAAATATAAAAATGTAAACCATCATAAAAGTGCTTCATTCTGACATACACAGTTCCATGAGTCTTACTTGCACATTACTTTTGGGTCACCGTGAAAAGGCAGCGATCTGTTAAAACTTCTGCTTAAAACATGTTCTGAGTACATCAAATACTTGCATCTCCACAGGCAGGTAAATAGTCAACATGATCAACTTATGTTGAGCTAGTTGTATACCAAGCCAGCTTGCTTTCCGTGCTTCCCGTTTCCACTGTTTTCTTGTAGTGTCACTGCTAAAACTCAGATACAAATCTCTTTACAATTTTTTCCCTGCCAATTTTCTACCCTCCCTGTTAGTAAACGTTAATTGAAGCTAACAGAGAAATGTCCAGGATCATATACACAAAGGGAAGAGGTATTTTTTGTTCCAATTAGTATTTTTTCCATTGCCTATTTTTAATTATTTTTCTTGTAATTTACAATTTTCAATTCAAATGAACATGGTTTTAACCTGGTGAAGCTTGGGTGTGATCCCTGATTCTAGCTGTAGTACAATCTTTCTCTTTCCCTTACTGGAATCAGAAATGATAATTTGAGTAATCGGGCAACAGTTTTATGAAATAAATTAATACTGAGACCTGCTATGTTGCTTTGGTATAATTTTAATAATTGTTATGTTTCATTTGTGCCGAAGATTTCACGTTTGGGGTTGAAATCAAACTGCCTGTTTTAAACTGTTCTCCAAAGTTTACGTTTGTGTGATAAAGTGCTCCTAGTCTACAACAAGCATCCTTTAAAGTGTGAATTCATAAGCCAGTTTCATGTTCTGTACATCCTCATTTATAATGTGAGCTTTACCCAGACTTGACATTTTAAGACGAGTTGGGTTAGGTTGGGTAATTTTCTGTTTAATCTAACATGTCATTAGCTGCACAAAGCATGGTTTTGTTCTGCTGTGGAAGGTTATTGGCAAACCACTCAGCAGGAAACAACCTTCTGTACCATTTGGTCAGTCAGCTCTGCATTTCCAAAACATTTATTCTGAAGATTGGTACATTCATTTTATTTTCGGTTTGCGAGAGCTGGACGAATACTTTTGAGATCTACCAGTGATTTTTAGAAAGACAGGTTCTTACCAGCGACATCCATTTTGAACCGACTATTTTGAATAAAAGATGTACATTCAAAACCATATCAACAACAACTATTTTCACGTATCCCTTTCAACATAGGGAGCTCGTCTTAAAGCAATTGACACAGAATGCACAACCTTCCGGAAATGAGCGTAGACTGATCTGCCATATTTTTCATGTACTTTATTATCTGTAACAATGTTAAATACACGTTACAATGTTTAATGCATAAGGGCCACATTTAACATCCATGTTTAACATTTATTGTGACTAACATAATGTACTTATTTTAATAAGGTTTGAAGCAATTCAGTGCTTTGACATTTTATGTTTTATATTTTTATTTACTAAACTAACAATATATATGAGGCTGCAGTAGAACATGAAACTGGGTTATGCATTTACACTACCGTTTGTAGCACTGTGTCACAGAACAGGTTAATACTGAAGGTTGTTTCGCTACTAATAACAATTATTTTTGTTAAGTTTTGTTTCCAATAAGAAAAATCATTACACGAGTAACAGTAAGGGTGCAGCATAAGATGTATCAAACTGTTGCCGAGATGAATTGAGTAAAATGTTGAAAATCTAAGGATGCAGTTTAAGAAAAAAATGAGTTTGTGTCTGTGCAGACTTTGGTTTAAGTCCATCTGTAAAACAATTTGAAATTGACCAAGAATCATGCCCTTAGTGTATTTGTATCAAAATAAATAGTGAGTGTATGGTTTGGACTGATGAGCACTAGTGACAAATTTTTGTAGTGTTCAAAAGAACAAAAAAGGGCTTCAAATACATGATGTATGTATAAAAGAAATAACCTACTGTAATCCAGAACAATAATAGTTTTTACTTATGTAATGTAGAGCCAAAAGGAAAGATGNAAAAAGTGGGATTAGATTGTAAAAAAAGATTGTAGACTTAAAAATGTTAATTTGGGGGAACTGGGTAAGGTTTGTAAAGAGGCTGCTCGGTTTGTTTCTATATCCATATGTAGGGTGAAGCTTGAGAACATTTGGTTGCAATCATGGGTGATTGCATAAATGAGTTTGTGAACTATTTACTCAGTTGTTATTCAGTAATCAACGACATTAGATGAATTACAGGAAATCAGCTACTGCTTTTCGATCTATTTGGAGTTTAGCTGAAACAGGATTTAAGTCCTGATTGGAATCAAGTTTCTTCGTGAAGAATTTAAGGTTTTGGCTGCTGGCATTTCTCTCTCTCTCTACCCTCCCTGCCCGTCCTTAAAACTGTACAGCAAAT